CACCCGCGCAGCCCTCAGACGTCCGGCTGGCACTGCGTGCGCCTCCCGGGGCGCGGGCGGACTGAGCCCCGGTCGCCGGTGCTGCCCGCCTGACCGAGGCAGCTACTGCCATTCTACAGGGGAAAGGCGGGTCCAGAGAGGAAGGCACTTAACCACGGCTACACTGTTCATTCAGCCCGCCGCCTGCGAACAAGAGCTGAGCACCCATTCTGTGCTAAGCCCTGCTTTGTGTGCTCGAAGTACAAGGATGCAGGCACCACCACTCTGTCACTTTCTTCTTTCCTCCCTTCTCCTCTGCCTGCCTGTCTTCTCATTCTGCAGCTTTCTTTCGGGGTCTTACCCCTGTTTGTGGTTTAACCACAGCCTGCTCCTGAGTGATTACCACCCTCTGTCTTCAACCCAGCCCTGGTGCCAGAGTCTCAGATCTCCCTATTCCCAACCTTTTCCCGCCTAGATGTGCCTCAGGCCCTAAAACTCAACACACGCTCAATCAAGTTCACAAATCTCTTTCTGTGACCTCCACCTAAGGACACATATTCCCCCAGACCCTTCCTGCATCTGCCTTCCTTCTGTCCTCCCTCTTTGTAATTCTCATTCATCTAACCCTGAGTTTCCGGCCCCCTCTCCCCCATTCCAGGGCACTTAGCACGCTTTGAACCTATGTATTTATTAGTGTGATTTTTATTTAATGTCTGTTCTATTCATCACCACATGTCCAACCGGCACCTTTTTCAGTGCCCGATCCAGTGTTTGCATTCGAAATGTTTTTCTCTGGGATGTGTGAATGAGTGCAAATTGACAATGAAAAATCAATCAGTAGTCAATCTAGAAAGAAATAGAACTTTTATTTGAGCCAACCTGAGGATTGAAACCCAGGACCGTCTTGTAGAAAGCTCTGAAGACTGTTCTGCCTGCTAGAGGGCAAGCATACGTAAGTTTTTGAGACAAAGGGTTATACATCAAAGTAACATGTTGACGGTTTACACAGTCCAACAAGGCGAGTAGTGGGTTATTGTGACCTCTTACAGGATTGAGAAAGGAATGTTATCTTCTAAGGAGTCACCTTGCTGGCGTCAGGAGTTTTTGGCGCGGGGCGGGGGCGGGGGGGCGCGGCGGTTAGTAGGCGTCCCTGTGTCTTCTAAGGCGATCTAGTCAATGTATGACGCAGGTGCACAATGCACACTGCAGGGGAGGGAGGAGTGCCTCAAACTGGCAGAGAATTTTATATTTAAAATTTTTCTTGTCCTGCCTTAAAAGCAATTTTTTTCATTCAAGTAAGCCATTTCCCTACAATAATACAATTCCCTACAAGAATACAATAATTCTTTTACTAAACTGAACTGAACTTGGATCCCCTTGTCCCGTCCAAGGCGCAGCAAAGCCAGTCTGATGGTGGGTTGCAGTGAGGGCAAGTACTGCGTCTATTGCAGGCGCCAAGCAAGGAGAACAGGCAGCTCATGCTCAAAACACCCAAATTCCCCCGTGGTTTGCAGGGAAGTTGTTTCTTTTTAAGGCAACATTTGGGGTGAGGATTGCAGGTGGCATGACTTTCTTCTGATTAGTTAGTAGTGGTGAGGTAACACGGTGGCGTTTGGCACTCTTCATTATCAAGTCTCTGGTTCCAGCCAGTCTGGGGTCTATGCACTGTGGTCAGCATGTATCACCCTCCTCCTCCTCCTCGATGGGGGTCGTAGTTCTTGCCCAACAACTCAAAGATACGTGTCAGATTGTATGCGCATCCCATGAGGAGAAACAAGTACTCTGTTTTATCGCTGAACTAGTGTTTCTTGACTGCTTTTCCTTTGTTTCTGCATTCCTTCATTAGTAACTGCTTGAGTCTGCTCTTTGGAACTCAAGGAAGGCATAGAAGACCAAAGCCTTTTTCTGTAAACAAGAAACGGACACAGAAGGCTTTTTTATTTTTTTACCCAGGAGGGCCCCAAGGGGTCCTGCTTGGTTTCAATACCCCTTTTCTTTGCTCCTCCTCAATTCTGAGGGGAACAGGGGGAGGATAAGAAAGAAAATAGAGTTTTGGAGAGAAAGGTTAATCATAAACTCCGCAGGGGAACTCAGTTTTAGGGGAACTCGATTTCACTTTGAAGAGGGTTTACATGGTTGGAGCACAGGCTCTGGATCTAGACTGCCTGGATGCCTGTCCTGGTACTGTCTCATCCTGGCTGGGCGCCCTGTCAACTTGTCCTCTCTAAGCTTATTTTTTTTAACAAATAACACCAACTTTGATTTCAGAAGTTTGCTTTGAAGATTATATAAGTTAATGCTCAGAGAATGCTTAACAGTGCTCTGGCATATTGTAAGCAATCAGTAAATATTTGCTCTTGCAATTACATGCAAAATACTCTGAGTGGGAGGAACAATGGGGGAAGGCTCCACGAAGGAGGTGGCATCTGAATTGAGACTGGTTGAGTAAAAATTTACCAGGCAGCAGTGGGAGGCTAGTCAAGATCACAGTGGATGAAAGTATTCAAATCATTGAAAAAAATCTCAAGATAATTCAGGAACACAGGAGACTATAGTGTAACTATGATAAAAAAATAAAGTTAATAAGCAGAAAGATTATACCAAGTTCATGGATGGGAAGACTAAACATTGTAAAGATATTCATTCCTCTCAAATTAATCTATAAATTCATTTCACTTCCAATTAAAATCTCAACAGATTCTTATTTGACAAGCTAAATCTAAAGTTGAAAAACTTTTGCAAGGATCCAAGAATAGTTAAGACACTTTTGGAGAAGTAGGGGGAAATTGCCTATCAGAATTCAAGACTCACAAAGTGATGGTAATTGATGTAATTATTAACTATTGGCATGAAGATAGAAAAATAGATCAGTAGCATAAAATAAAGAGCCTCTAGAAATAGATTCACACTTACATGGAAACTTGATGCACAAGAGGGTTTGCATGGACAATCCAGTGCTACTGGCAGCTGCTGGACTAATTCGTTTTTTAGCAGTAGAGACATTTTCCCTTCACTAAATATGTTACATACATAAGAAAAGTTTGATCATAATATGTTATAAATTAATAAAGTTATTTCTGATTTTTTAATCCACAAATCATTTAATTATTTCCAAGTCTCATCAGTTGAAATGGGAGTTTAATTGATACATGCAAATTTATTTACCAAAAAATACTAACAAACTACGGGTGAGGACATATAGCATTCATTGCTGGTGGGAATATCAGATAGTACAGACGCTCTGAAAAATAGTGTGGCAGTTTCTCATAGAGCTAAAATACATTCACCATACAACCCAGCATCACACTCCTGGGGATTTATGGTAGAGAAGTGAAAATCCATGTTCACACAAAGACCTATATGTGAATGTTTGGAGAATTTTTACTTGTAATGATCCCAAGCTAAAAACAATCCACATGTCCTTCAGCGAGTGAGTGGAGAAACAGACTGGGCTCCATCCACACAGTGGAGTACCACTCAGCAGTAAAAAAATAACGTACTTAGATGGATCTCGAAGGGCATTATGCTGAGTGAAAAAAGCCAGTTGCAAAAGGTTACACAAATGGTATTATGCCATTTATATAACATCTTGTAAGTCAGAAAATTAGAGGGAGGCAGAACAGCCCAGTGGTTGCCAGCAGTTAGGGTTGGGGGAAGATGTGACTATAAAAAAGGTGACTGATGGCCACACCAATCTATACAGGTGATAATGCTTCATAGAACTACACACACACACACTCACACACACACATACATTGTGCTTGTTAAAAATCATTGAATCCAAATAAAATCTATAGTTGAGCTGTAGGATTGCACCATTGTCAGCTTCCTGCTTTTAATAACACACTATGGCCATGTGGAATGCTGT